GTCTATATATAGTAAATTCCAGGTGAGCCAGAGCTACATAGTGAGATTATATCAAAAACTTATAGAGTTGCAAGATATTATATATCCTTACACAGCCTCTTTTCAACTCTACGGGTTTGGTTTTTTGCTGCTGCTGGGGTGTGTGTGTGTAGATAGGGTTTCTCTGTGTAGCCTTGGCTGTCCTGGAGCACACTCTATAGACCAGGGTGGCCTTGAACTCACAGAGATCCACCTGCCTCTTACTCACAAATGCTGGAATGAAAGGTGTGTGCCACCAATGCCTGGCCAACACTACAACACTAGAAAAGATTAAAAAATACTTAGCTTTGCCCAAAATTGAGAAGAAAAATAACATTGGTATGAAATTAAGCATTTTTCTTTTCTTTTCTTTTCTTTTTTTTTTTTTTTTTGGTTTTTCGAGACAGGGTTCCTCTGTATTGTTTTGGAGTCTGTCCTGGAACTCACTCAGCAGACCAGGCTGGCCTCGAACTCACAGAGATCCGCCTGCCTCTGCCTCCCAAGTGCTGGGATTAAAGGCGTGTGTCACCAACGCCCGGCGAAATTAAGCATTTTTCTATAGAGCTACTGTTTATCATTATTTCTTTTTTGTGAACTTGCATGTAGTCATTCCTATCCATTCATTTATTCTTTTTCTCTCTTCAAGACAATATCCTGTCGTGTAGCCCTGGCTGGCCTGCAATTTACTATGTAGACCTCTGACTTAGAACATTCAGCAAGCCTCCTGAGTCCTGGAATTACAGGTGTGCACCACCATATCTAGCCTTCTTTAAAAACAAAAACAATGAACTCTGAACTTTAAAATTACTGTTTTTATTTTTTAATTTTTTAAAACATTCATTTATGTAAAATGTGTCCATATGTACATGCATATGTTTGAAGGTCAGAGGACAACTTGTAGGAGTCAGTTTTCTCCTTTCATCATGTGGATCCTGGGGACTGAATTCAGGTCATCAAGATCAGTAGCAAATGTCATTACCCACTGAGCCATCTTGCAAGATCCCTTAACTTGCTTGTGCTAAAATGTTTCTCTCATTTTTTGAGATAGGGTCTCACTATGTAGCACTGGCTGGTATTGAACTCACAGAGACAGGTCACCCTCTTAAAAGTGTGTATCACCACATAGTACATTCATGTTCTTTTTATTTCCCCAGAGAGAAATTTATGGTTTTTTGTTTGTTTGTTTTTGTTTCTTAAGACAGGGCTTCTCTGTGTTGCCCTACCTAGAACTCACTCTGTAGACCAGGCTGTCCTGGAACTCACAGAGATCTTCCTGTTTCTGCCTCCTGAGTGCTGGGATTAAAGGCATATGCCACTAATACCCAGTTCAGTTTAGAATTCTTACATGGTCAAATTGCCTAATTTTAGTTGTAGAAAGAATAAAAATAAACTTTGTATTGAGATAAACAACATGCCCAACTCTCTTAACAGCATGTCCTGGGTTAAGTAGAGTATGTTAAGCACATGAAACTAGGGCAAGGAATACCAGTTACTTCTGGAAAGCCCCGCCAAACTCAGGATGGTTGATCAGGCTGGGCCTCTGGTCTAATGACTGGCTGGTTTAGGGTCAGTATGAAAGAAAGACTCCTCAAGGACTGTCAGTCAAGGACAAGCCAGAATAGGCAGAGGTGTCAGAAAGGTTTTCTGTTCTGGATTACTACCCAGCAGACACGAAGCTCTCAGAGGGAAAACTTTGCCAAAAGTTTGTTACAAGGGTGCAAGCTACCTTGCCAGCCTTCCCTCAACATGCATCAACTGCAAACCAAATTATAACATCTCCAGGTCTAAAAATAGCATACTATCTTGTGTTCTCATCACATTCAAAGAGAAGAACCAAAAATAGCACAGACAAAAAACTCAAGGCCGTGTCCCACTGGCCTGGTAGCAACTATGTTTGTACCTGAGGTCTCTCCAGAAGCTCCTGGGGTCAGGGTTCCAGCTACTGCTTCCACAATAATTTCCATGTTCCCTGGACTCTCTTCAGTAGCTGTGGCCTCTACCAGGAGGCAGCCTGGGTCAGCAGGTAAAGATGCAGGCTCTCCAGAAGCACAGGTGTTCTGGACAGGGCCCAGGATTCCGTGGTTTGAGAGAGATGGGGGAATCAACAATAGCTCAGAGCATAGTCCATCCATCTCTCCGGTGCCGTTAGCCAGCTGGGATGCCAACATAGGATCTGTCATTATCATTGACTTGTGTGCTGTGGCCTCCTAAATGCTGACAAGTAACCAGGAAAAAAAATTATATATATAAAAAATATACACACACACATACACATATATATATACACACATACATACACACACATATATGGTTAGAACTCTTAATTTCTCTGAAGGTAGCCCACTTATTTAGGCATTTCCTTTCATGGCAGCATGCCATACTTATTATCCTAAATATTTTCAAAGAAACACTCAATATAGAGCATAAAATGAGAATGAAGTCAATGAAGTCAGTATTAGTAGAGAACCAACAAGTTGAAGCCAATGATAAAAGATTACACATTGTGTTTCTTTGCTGGGACAAAACTAAATGGGGCCAAAGGATCTCTCTTTCACCACCTGATGATCTCATTATTCTCAGTGTAGACATAAAACCATTCCTTCACTTATGGCCCGCATTGACTGGCCTCTCCAGACAACCCTTACTCCCTCTGTCCTCCTCACCAGATGATTTGCCATTTTCTGACTCCATACATTCCTTTTTGCTTGAAGACCTCTCCACTTTCTTGCATCTCCCACTCAATCCATCTCAATCTCTTGTCTAATCAAATATACCTACTCCTTAAGAAAACAAATACCAGTTCTGCTGTGAATGCTTCCTAACATTCTTAATTTTCTCCTTTGGGTCCTGACAGCCTTTATATGTAGCCCTATCAGAAACCACACTGCACTGTTGTTTCCCTAATAGTCTCCCTTCCTAGATGTTTAGCTCAACTGGCATCAAGTATGGAATGTAGTTGAGGATGACTTTGAACTCCTAGTACTCCATCTACCACCCCAGTACTGGGAGTCCAGGTATACATGATACTACCGGTTTTAAGACTTCATTTTTAATTATGTGTGTTGATATGTGCATGAGTGCAGGTCCAGAACCAAGAGTCCAGAAGAGGGTGTTGGATTCCCTGAAGCTAGTGTGGTTGACAGATGCCTGAAATGGATGCTGGAAACTGAACTCAGGTCCCCAGAAAGAGCAGCATTCACTCACAACCTTTTCTTTCTTTAATGTGGTGCTGGGGATCAAACCCAGGGCTTTGTGCATGCTGGACAAGTACTCTACAAATGAGCTGTTATTACATATCTCCAACACTGGATGTGGCGCTTTGAGCAATATATCGGCATTTTTCTTTTCAATGAATACAAAGCACCAATAAGCTGTGTACACAAGTCAGACAGATGACAATTCTAGTGACCAGCTGAATTGAAGTAAACCCATATACCTTTTTAAAAAACTAATGTGCATTGGTGGTTTGCCTGCATGTATGTCTGCTTGAGGTGTCAGATCCCTTAGTACTGGAGTTACAGGCATTTGTGAGCCACCACGTGGGTGCTGGGAATTGAACCCAGGCCCTCTTGGAAGAGCAGTTAGTGTTCTTAACCGCTGAGCCATCTCTCCAGCCCCAAACCCAGATATCTTAAACCAACGTATCAAACCAGTGGTTCCTCAAATGCAAGGTAACTTTTGGATTCACTAACTTCCTAAGGCCTCCAGAACCTAACACAACCGAGAAACAAATTAAACTACACACCCTGTTAGACAATGCTGAAATAAGTGAGATGATTTTTCAAATTCTTAGTACTCAGGAGGCAGAGGCAGGCCTGATTTACAAAGTGAGTTCCAGGTCAGCCAAGACTGTCTTGAAAAACCAAAACAAAACAGAATGACAATAAGTACTTGATGAAATCTGGTCACCAAGGTTGAGTAAGGGCCAGGTGACAGCCGCTATTCTTTATTCTGCAAAATCCCTCCACTCCAACACAGCAAGGGCAGGCAGAAATTCAGAAAGTGTCATGGAAGAGCACTCCCGTGGTCAGAGAGGCTCTTTGGAAGCTACAGCTTCCACCGGCTACTTATAATTGCTGCTCTGGCCAGTTTTCCAGCTCGCGCCTCAGGAAGACGAGGCACTTGAGTAGGAGTGCGCCAGAGAAGTAAGGTGCTTTCTTTGAGATCGGAGAGCCAAGGTACACGGAAGCCTAAGGAACAAGGCGCCCCGGACTAGGTACCTCGGCTGCCACACGCTTCTGGGCTTTGGCTCACCGTGTGGCCTTGAACAGATGCACTCTCTTGGCTTCTCGGGGCCTTAGCTTTCCTATCGGTAAAGTGGAGGCGGCGACAGCGTCTACACTGTCCGGCGACAGCCAAGTCACAAGATCCAGAGAAGAAAGGCGTTTTGGAACCTGCAAGGCTTGGGATGATGCATCGTCACGATTATGGTCCTGAGGAGAGGCAGCGGATACCCGGGCGGGGCCCAGAGCGGTGACGCGAAGATGCGCCCGGGCCCCTCTCGTGGGCGTGCTCCCCTCAGCACCTCCTCCCATGGGGTCCCACCTCCCATGCCCACTCATGCTGAGGCTAGAGAAACTTTTACCAGCAGCTCCCAGCACCCGCACTTCCCCTGGTTCCCGCCGACAGCCGCTCTCTCACCTTCTACCCCAGGGCCGGCGGGAGCTGCATCTCTATGGTCTGACGGAGACTGGAGCGGCTCCTTAGGGGCCTTTGGTGCGGCCGCCCATGGCCCACGCGCCTCTGGGAATCTGACGTGTGGCGGTCACTCTGTCTCTCGCGACCGCTGCTACTCTATGGTTCCCCTACACCCCCACGTCCTTGAATACCCTAGCTCTGAAGCCCAAAGCGGAACCATCGAGAGTTGCAGGGCAGAGTGGATCGAACCTTGTGGTGGGTGTGGCGGGAAGTAGATGTGAGCTCGCAGGCTGGGTCTAGCGGCGCGACCTCCAAGTGCAGCCTGGTATTACCATCGAGTCTGAGGGCTAGAGAGTCCTGGCGGCAAGGGGGCGGGGTGACAGACGTCTCCCGACCACGTTCCTGGAAGCGCGAGCTGTGTGGTGTGTGGAGTGTCCGGGAGTCTCCTGCTGTGTGTCAGGCTCTGGAACCGGGAGTCAGAAGAGCTTCGTCAGTGGCTCTCTATGCAAAGGTGTTTTGGAATCATGGATCCCAGCTCCGAGCCCTAGAAGAAGTCACGGCTGTCAATTCACCGGTGGCCCGGCGTGCCAGGACAAAGTGGCGGTGGTGGAGTGTCGCAGGAGAGGTGTGCTGGGAATAATTCATCCCTTTCCCTTGGGAATCGTCTACAGTTAGGCCTAGTCACGTCTTATGGGGTTGAATTTGGAAAAGGCTCCGTGGAGAAAGTAGCCTATGAGATCTCAGTAAGAATGCCGGGAATAAAGAAGGGGGCATTCGGAACCCACAGAACTGAGTGGGCCAGAGGTAGGTAGTAATTTGCATATTTCTTGAACGGCTAGCAAAGGTAGATGTCCTAATGTGGAGGTCCCCGTGTATACGGTTGTGTTTGGATCCCAATGGGAAAAAGTCACTGAGGGTGCTGGAGTAAAAGTGTGACAGAATTGGAGATGGTCCGCGTGTGGTGACTGGATGACACAAGTGCTGGAGGTCCATTGAAATGCCACTTCAAGAACTAATGTTTACCTTGCATGAAATAGTTTAGGCGGGAAGTAATAAAGGTCTGAACAGGCCATTGGGATCTAGAAAAATCACCTTTGCTGCCCTTTGCCCAATGGGGACCCATTCTGTCTCAGCTCTTGCCAGGGACCAAAGTCTTGCCTTTCTCCTCTCCTTATGTGAAGCTGATTACATTGCATTTTGGAGTTGAGAAAATCTCCAAACATGGTCTTTTGGCAAAAGGTCTTCTATTTGAAGAGCAAAATGGATTGGAGAGCCTGAGGAGTTTGCCCTGGCATTCTGACACCATGTTACTCCACAAAAAGACAGTGAAGCACACAGGACTGCTGGCCTGTCCATCTTGCTTCTGTGGGAGGAAATGGGGCACATTTGATGGGTTTGGTTTCTAAACTCGTCTTATGCTTTCTCCCAGCTCTGCTGCTCTCCACGCCTAGGTTTTGACAGTGCCTCGGGGTCTGTAAGCATCTGTAGTTTTTTTTTTTTTTTCCTGTCAAGATGCCATTGACAGACTTTGTTCTGGCCCTAAAAGACAATCCCTACTTTGGGGCAGGATTTGGACTGGTAGGTGTGGGCACGATTCTGGCTGTGGCCCGGAAAGGAGCCCAGCTGGGTCTAGTGGCATTCCGGCGCCATTACATGATCACACTCGAAGTCCCTGCTAGAGACAGAAGCTACGCCTGGTTGCTTAGCTGGCTTACCCGACACAGTAGCCACACTCAGCACCTCAGTGTTGAAACCTCATACCTTCAGCATGAAAGTGGCCGGATTTCCACCAAGTTCGAATTTATCCCCAGCCCTGGAAACCACTTCATTTGGTAAGATTGGAAGCTAGGAAGGGTTCTGAGGATAGGTCAAATAAATGGAGGAAATTGGGTCACTTTGACAATTTTATTCAGGTATCAGGGGAAATGGATCCGGGTACAACGAAATCGAGACATGCAGATGGTAGACTTGCAAACAGGAACTCCTTGGGAATCTGTCACCTTTACAGCCCTGGGCACTGATCGAAAGGTTTTCTTCAATATCCTGGAAGAAGGTATGAGATGGGACAGGCAGGCTTCTGGCGGATCCTTCAGTAATGGGGAGGTTGGGCATCAGCTCCTTAGAGGAATAGGGATCCCAGTACATGGGAGGAGGGTGCCAACTGAAGAATCAGCTGTGATCAAGAGACTTACTGTCTCATTTCCTTGCTCTCAGCTCGAGCACTAGCCCTACAGCAGGAGGAGGGGAAGACGGTGATGTACACAGCTGTGGGTTCTGAATGGCGTACCTTTGGTTATCCACGCCGCCGCAGGCCATTGGATTCTGTAGTCTTACAGCAGGGTCTGGCTGACCGAATTGTCAAAGATATTCGGGAATTCATTGATAACCCCAAGTGGTACATTGACAGAGGTAAGCAGCAGCTGGGATCTGAGCTAGCCTATAGCTGCATGAGGTGACAGAAAATTCTAGCTCGGGAGAAGGGAAAAGAAAACGTCTCTGGGGATATCTTTTTCTGATACTAAGACCACCAGACTGATAGGGAACAGAGGTGAGGGGGAATGTGGACACCTGGGCCAGAGTACAGGATTTGCTTTAGGTCCTCTTTGTCTTGGTTATGTCCCTAGGCATTCCCTACAGACGTGGCTACCTTCTTTATGGTCCCCCTGGTTGTGGAAAGAGCAGTTTCATGTGAGTAGTCAAATTCTCTTGATTCTGAAAAACAGCTTTTGCAGAAAAACTGGGCTTCTAGGAAACTTGGAAAAGAGACATAAATCCTGGAACTAATAACCAGGGTAAACATGAGACATATGGAGCATCAAGTGGGTGCTATAGGAGACTTAGACCTTTGAGACATACCGCCTAGGAGTCCCAAAGAATCCTCAGGTTGCCTGGGACCTCCTTCTGTGTTGCTGTCCACAGAACAGCTCTGGCTGGAGAACTGGAGCACAGCATCTGCCTGCTCAGCCTCACAGACTCTAGTCTCTCCGATGACCGGCTCAACCACCTGCTCAGTGTAGCCCCGCAGCAGAGCTTGGTGCTCCTGGAGGACGTGGATGCCGCTTTTCTCAGTCGAGACTTGGCCGTGGAGAGTGAGTGAGGATGTTGGGACGGGTGTTTCCTGTTTAGCTAGTTTCATGTGCACGTATGCAGACACATGCACGTGGGGTCAGAAAACTGTTTTGAGTCAGTTCGTACCTCGCACCTTGTTGAAGCAGTGCCTCTCTTGTGGGTCCTGCCATACTCCTGTCTCGACCATCAGCATTGGAAGATGTAGACATGTACCACTGCGTCCAGCTTTTTACTTGGATTCTGAGATCAAACTCAGGTCTTTAGGCTTGTGTAAAGCTGGTGGCACTTTTGACTACAAAGCCGTCTCCCTCACCCAGGGAGATTCTTGTTTAAGACACTGAAAGTCAGTGTGGGAGCAGGCGCTTTTGGAGGACTGAGGCAGCAACAAGACGTGCTGGGAAGTAGGGAGCTGCAGTGGGGATTGGTGCAGTTTTAACATCCACATTCCTGTCATCGCCTAGACCCTGTAAAGTACCAAGGTCTAGGTCGACTCACGTTCAGCGGACTGCTCAATGCTTTGGATGGTGTAGCCTCCACTGAGGCACGCATTGTGTTCATGACCACCAATCACATTGAGAGGTAAGGAGAAAGGAAGGCAAGTTGGGGGACTGAGGAGATGGTCTGTTTTGGGTGCTGGCAGGACTATTGGCTGTGACTCTGCTTTTCTTCTTAGGCTGGATCCTGCTCTGATACGTCCTGGGCGAGTAGATCTGAAGGAGTATGTGGGCTACTGCTCACACTGGCAGCTGACCCAGATGTTCCAAAGGTTCTATCCAGGGCAAGCGCCTTCCTTGGCTGAGAGCTTTGCAGAACATGTCCTTAAATCTACATCCCAGATTAGTCCTGCCCAGGTGCAAGGCTACTTCATGCTGTATAAAAGTGACCCCATGGGGGCTATTGACAATGTTGAATCTCTGAGGTGATCCACCAGGCCGCTGTCTGCTCTAAAAAAAAATCTATAAACACCTGTCAAACTAATCTGGTCTGAGACTTTCCTCCCTCACTTGCTGTGTTTGTACTTGAGAATGAAACAGGAGTTGCAATGGCAAGTGCCTACAAGATACACATATACAAATGATGGGGCCATGACCTAAACGAGGGAAAGAAGAGACTGAGCCTTAATGGGAAAAATATATGTCTTCATGAAAGGCCATGTTTTGGCACACTTTTTTTTATTTTTTGTTTTTTTCTGAGACAGGGTTTCTCTGTAGTCCTGGCTGTCCTGGAACTCATTCTGTAGACCAGGCTGGCCTTAAAACTCAAATCCACCTGCCTCTGCCTCCTGAATGCTGGTATTAAGGTGTACCATGTGGCACATATTTTTAATTCCAGAGCTAAGGTAGTTAAGGTTGCTAAAAGCTCAAGACCAACCTGAACAACAGTGAGACCATTTTTCCCCTCAGAAGAGCAAAGGGGCTTGGGATATAGCTCAGGTGGTAGAATGCTTGCCTAGCATTCACAAACTGGCCATGATGGCAATGGCCTGTAACCCTAGCACTCAGGAGGTAGACAGGAAGATCAGGGCTTCTTCAGTTGTATGCATCTTGAAGTTAGTCTGGGCTACATGGGACCTAATCTCAAAACAACCAACAGGTCAACAGTGCATGCTTGAATATATAGAGAGTTATATGTTATGGTACCTCCTAAGGATTCTGCCCAAATGTCAACCTCCTCAAAACTGACCACACTGGCAGGCAAGTAAGACCCTTTCCACCTTAGCACTTTTAGAGAACAGACTTAGAACCACCCCTGCCCCCATACCCAAATCTTGTAGCAATTTAGAAACAGCCATACCCAGCTCACAACTGTCAGTAACTCCAGCTCTAGGTGATCCTACACCCTCACACAGACATACATGCAGGCAAAACACCAATCCACATAAAAATAAACTGGAAAAAAAAGGAAGAAAAAACGTCATACCGTACAAGCTAGGTGCTATTAAGCAAGGGCCAAATCTCTTTATTGCCTCCCTCCCATCCCCAATTCCCTGTCCCCCCACAGTACTGCTAGGAACCTTCCTCAGATTCCAAGCCCATGGGCTCCGTGTGAGTACCAGACCTATATGTTCCTTGGCCCCGAGGTAGGTGGGAGTAAGAAGAACCTGGTGTACGGCTTTTGGAGCGTTCCCAGCGAGCACAGTCCCGAGTCCTGCGAGCTGAGGGGCCCTGCCAGCTACCAGGCCCCTTCTCCTGAGGAAGACCTGTGTGCCCTTTGTTACGGGGTTCTGGCTTTAAGTCCACAGGTTCCTTGAGAGGCTTTCCAGGAGGTGGCAGTTCTTGGATGTCACTGGTACCTTTTGGAGCACAGTACTCCCCTCCTTTTGGGTGCCTCCGATCATAGTGTCGCCAGGAGCCACGACCAGATCGTGGAGGATCTAGCATGGATTTCTGAGTCTCACCCAGCCTGCGTTGATTTGGGCCAGCCCCTGGAATCTTCTCACACACATACTGTGTAGCCATGGGTAGAGGAGCTGGCACAGTTGACTGGGGAGTTGGAGAAGTAGATTGTTCTGCAGAAAGGGCATCAGGTGGTTGGGGTCCTCTGGAGACATCTACAATTGATTGAGGTTCCAGAGTCGTGGGAGGCTGGGAAGAAGAGACAATGCATCAAGGGAGACCCTTCTCCACTACCAGTCAGTCATCAATCTGTAACCTCCCTAGGCAGAAGGAAGCACACCCTAGCACCACACTGGAGGCACTGAGGCCAAGAGGGGAACCCTTCCTTTCCTCACCTGCTGAAGGCTAATGAAGTACCGGTTCCGTTCTGCCTCAAGGTCAATGATACCACCTTTCTCCTGCTGCCTCTGATACAGCAGCTTAAGCTCTTCCTGTTGGCGCAAGCTCTCTGCACTGGGTTGGTACAGCTCCTTGAAGGAAAGGAAACAGAATGGCAGGAGAAAAAAACCAAGATGAGAAAGCGGACAACTTGAACCCTAACTCTTCTAGGATTGTCCTAGGAGAGCTACACAAGGTTCCTGGTGTTTTGTTTTGTTTTAGGCAAGAGTTTCATAAAGCCCAGACTGGCCTCAAACTTACCACATGCCATGACCTTGCTTTTCCTCCTGCCTCCACTTCCTGAGTGCCGGCATTAATTGAGTGTACCACTGTACCAATACCAGGTTTTTAACTCAGTGCTGGGGATCAAACCTAGGGCTTTGTGTGTGCTAGGCAAGTCCACTACCAAATGAGCCACATTCCCAGTCTGAGTTCTTGGTTTTGTTCCTCAGAGTTGGGCTTCTGAAGTCTTAGGCTCCTGTGGGGGGTGTGGCTTCAAAGAGCAGTCTTAAGCAAGTCAAACCCAATTCCAGAGAATAGCGGAGACAAGATGTCATTTCTCTCTCCTTAGAGAATGCCACTATTCCTGGCTTAGACCAGAAGGAAATCCCTTACCATGGGTTGTTGGGGTTCAGGGGCTGCTTTCAGCGAGGCAAGGTCATACACAAGGGGCTCCCTGCACACAGGACACTGCACACCGACTGCCTTCTAAAACAAGAGGAGAAATCACATCCCACTCCCTGCCAGCCAGCCCAGTCTTTGGAGGGCTGGGATTGAAGGGCACAAGCATTAGCTGCTCAGCAATGAGGTGGGACGGAGGAGGACAGGGCTGCCTAAGGAAATGTCTGGCAATGTTGCAAAGCTGCATGCAATATATCTGTACACAAGGATGCCTTTCTTTCTGGACAGGGGTGAGATTTCATCTCCAAGGTATCTACAACTAAATGATGAAAAGCCACTAGAATGGAGGGACGGAGATGGGTGTCAAAGTCTAAGGACACTGGACAAGAAAGTGGGTCTGCAATGACTACCTGTTTGGTGACAACATGCTGTGGCTCCTGTTCCTGTCCTTGTGCCTTCAGCTCTTGTTCCATGTGCTGGATGTACCGAGCAAGGCAGTGGCAGTGGAAGTAGTGGTAACAGGGTGTTTTGGTAAAGGCCTCCTTTTCCTGTAGGGAGACAGATGCAGTCCTGTACCTGTGAACACTCATTAGCCATTACCTATCTGCTCAAGCTGAGAAACTCACCTGGAAACCATAGAGGCAGATGACACACTGACCATGGGGGATGTTGTTGTCTGTGAGAATTTCCTTCCCTTTCTGAAAGGAGAGAAGATGCTACTGAAATGTGGAGGCAGGAGACTAAACACATCCCATGTACTTCTTCCAGGAGTGACTGGCTGGGTGTGGCATCTGCCAAGCCAGCTTGCCACCTACTGTTGATGCATTCCTATCCTGGTAATGTTCTACTTGCAAGAGTCCCTCTCCATGCCCCCCTCCTCCCAATTGACCTTCCTGGTTTCAAGACCTAAGTCAATTATTTCTCCTGTCCCTAAGTCACCTTTAAGATCTTTGGAGATAAAAACAATATTCATGGTTGGGCATTGTAGTGCATGCCTTTAATCCTAGCACTCAGGAGGCAGAGGCAGGTGGATCAAGGTCACCCTGGTCTACAGATGGAGTTCTAGGACTAAACAGAAAAACAAAAAACAAAAAGATGAGTTTTGATTATTTTTTTTCTATCCAGGTATGTGTGTGTGTGTGTGTTTGTTTTGTTTGTTTTTGAGACAGGATTTCTCTGTATGATTGTCCTGGCTGTTCTGGAACTCAATCTGTAGAACTCATAGATCTGCTTGCCGCTGCCTCCCGAGTACTAGGACTAAAGGCATGCACCACAATACCCAGCTCTCAAAACTTTACACACACACATGGTAGCTTCAATTTTAGCACTCAGGAAGCTGAGGTGGGAAGATTACTTTAAATTTGAGGCCAGGCCGGGCGTTGGTGGCACACGCCTTTAATCCCAGCACTCGGGAGGCAGAGGCAGGCGGATCACTGTGAGTTCGAGACTAGCCTGGTCTACCGAGCGAGTTCCAGGACAGCCTCCAAAGCCACAGAGAAACCCTGTCTCGAAAAACCAAAAAAAAAAAAAAAAAAAAAAAAAATTGAGGCCAGCCTGGCTACAAAGTGATACTGTCTCAAAAGTACAAAAAAAAAAAAAAAAGAACAACAACAACAACAAAAAAAAAACCCGCCCCATTTTCATTTTCTGACATGCCTCCTTTTTGTTGTTGTTGTTTGAACCAAGAGTCTTGCTTTGTAGCCTTGACCCAAGTTTTTGGGCTCAAGAGATCCTTTTTCTTCAGACTCTCTGGTGGCTAGACTTATTAGCACATGCAACTGTGGGGCCTCAGAGGCTTTTCTTAACATTCTTCAAATATAATTCCCCCATGGGGCAATTAAATGGACAGAAATAAAATGGTATCAAATTGGGCTATGAAATATGTATTTGCATAGCTAACACTATAGAATTTCAGAATCTAAACCAGAGTCTGGCCCAGAAGTGCTATTGTGCCCTAAATGCCCACTCACTAATTCTATGCAACTCATCTTCACTGTACTCTGAACATTTTTCCTAAGAAACCCCAAGGAGAAGGAAACAAGGGTGACCTTGATTGTGTGCTTTTAACCTCAAATAAGAAAAGTTACCCAGCCGGGTGTTGGTGATGCACACCTTTAATCCCAGCACTCGGGAGGCAGAGGCATGTAGATCTCTGTGAGTTTGAGGCCAGCTTGATCTACAAAGCGAGTTCCAGCACAGGCTCCAAAGCTACACAGGGGAACTCTGTCTTGAAAAACAAAAACAAAAAAAGGGTTTCTCTGTGTAACAGTCCTAGGTGGACTGGAACTTTATTTGTGATCAGGCTTGCCTCAAACTTACAGAAATCTATCTGCCTCTGCCTCCTGAATGCTGGGATTGTGCCACCACAATCTTTTTTTAAGGCAGGGTCGGATGTAGCCCAAGCCATCCTTGACCTTGTTATGTAGTTAAGAATGCTTTGAACTCATGAATTTTCTTGCCTTCACCTCCCAAGTGCTAGGATCATAGGTGTGCACCACTATGGCTAGCCTAAGTATAAACTCTCTGAGAAAAGAAACCATGGCTTTTCTCGTCAGTTCTAATGCAAGCTAACCTACAAGTGTT